GAGTTCTACTTGAGGGCTCCTTTTCCTTTTGTGCAAGTTTGGGGGTCTTGCTGCATGGTGAGAGGGAAGATAACAAAGGTTTATCTGGAAGAGGATTGGGAATATCTATATGGAGCAGTGGTCGAGCACTGCCAGTCAGTCTGACCTGGAGACCTCTAGAGGAAGAGTTTCCAGTTGAGCCAGCACTCAGCGTGGGTATGACTGCTGCATAGGGGCCTGGAAATGGGGATGCCGAAGTATTAAGGGATGAGACCTGGGCAACAGGAGTGGTGGGCTTGCTTTGGGAGGCGCTCTGAGGGTTGGAAGAGTTAGAACTTGAGCCCCAGTGAAGGTCTGAAGATCCTGTGTCTTCTAGTTCTACCACATTCAAGTTGTCACCCATGGAAACAGAGCGAGTCATCTTGGCCATGGAGCTAGTGGTAGGACTCATATAGGAACGGGATCTGGACTTGGTAGGTGTGGTGATGTCCCTTGGCAGGGTAGTTGTAGGGCTGGTGAGTGGGACGGTGGGAAGGGAACGCCGTGGTCTTTGCATCTGTGGGCGGTCTGGGGTCTGGGGCTGTGGGTGGACTTCTTTAGAAGGACGACTGGATGTCTGGACCATGTCCGCTGATCAGAAGAGGGATGGAACAGATGATTATTGTGAGAAAACAAGACGGCAAATAATGCATAACATAATGTGAAATACTCCATATCACCATATTCATTAGCACAAGCTCATGGATGATTTACCCTCTGAGGAGATGTTGTGGATAGACTGAGCTTTCCTCATGCCTGCAGAACTGTTGTGACTTGCGGCAGCTTTAGCGACAGGGCTGATCAGTCTGCGGGAATCCATGACGGGTGTGCGTTTCTTCTGGATTAAACGCTGACCTGTTGTCCTCTCAGTGCCGTGGGATTCCTGCTGTTTGCCTGGACTCTTATTCTCCATGAGGGGCCGCACCTCTGAGATAAGTGGCTGTACAGCTCCACTGGTGGTTTTAATATCACTGCTTTTGTTTGAGGGGAATGGGAATGCAGTTCTGGTAAAGAAAGGGCAGAGTTATGCTTTCTCCTCGGAAGTCTAAATGTCACTGGGAATAGAAGTCACGGTTAGAAGGGATTTGGTCAAAGGGTGACTGTTTCTTACCTGCTTGGGGAGTTCTGAGAGAGGAACTTCGATGACATGCTGTCAGAGATATTTGGAGTTACTCTGGGTGGACTTGCTGCCAAAGAAAAAGAGTCTGAGAGCTTACATTAAAGAAAAATCTTTTAAGAAAATTGTGAACATGTACAGTACAAATGCCCTACCAGTGTTGTTGAGGTCTGACAGGTTTGCAAAGTGCCTTTTGAGAAAGGCCTCCTGGTCTGGGGTCTGAGGTACAGGAGTCTGAACCTCATTCTTCCTCAGGCTGTCTTCCTCTTCCTCATCAAGATCTTCCATATCCAGTTCTGATGAGTTTCCATCAACACTCAGTGGCTCGGTTGGCTCAGAGTCTACAGCAAACACACAGAAATATACACTTATCTCATCAAGGACCCATTGCAATTACTGAAATGATTGTGCGAGTCTGCTAGTTTAGTTTTTTAGTACCTTCTCCAGGGTGTTCGGGGCTGGAGAGATGACTGCTGGAATACTCCATTGAGCAGGCGCTGTCTGGACTCTGCTTCTCAGGACAAGAGTTCACTTTAGCAGATCTCACTCCATGGGGCAACTTTTTCACTTGATACTCACTATTCACAAACAAAGAGAAGAGAGCAGACAGGTTTTTGAGGATCATCTCAAAATGGTGCTTTAGATCATTTTATGAATTCTAACAGACCAATTAAAAAATGAAATTTCCTTCCTCATCATTTACTCACCCTCATGTTGTTCCAAACCTGTATGACTTTTTCTTCTGAGAAACATCATAAAGATATTTTGACAAATGTTTTCCAATGGTTCCCAACTTTCTTCTAAGTATCTTTGGGTTCCACAGAAGAAAGAAACTCACAGGTTTGGAACCAAGTGTGGGTGACAGAAGGATTGACAGAATTTCAGTTTTTGAGTGGAGTATCCTTTTAAAGATAGTTTGTGTGAAATGATCAGAAATGTTGGGTTGCCAAAAATAATCAATGTATACTGAATATTTACACAAACAGTGTAAATAAAAAGTGAAATTTGTTTTACTGACCTGCCAGCAAGACTGATTTGGTCTTCTTCACATCCCTCAGGATACAGCACCTCCGTCTCTGGGGTTTGAGGGGGCAGCCTGATGTAAAGAGGACGTGTTTGTCCTCCTGGTTCATTCTCTTCAGGTACCTACAGAGAAGATGTGCAAGTCAAAAAAAGAGACAGAACAGACAAACAGGTCTGCGTTCATGAGCACACATATAAAAGGCATTGACTTCAAGAGGTCTCAATCTCATTTGATTCTGATTTTTCTGTATTATATCTAAGACCAGTTGTAGACACTGTAGTATTATTCTAATGAGTTTCCATTTTGTTGCATGCAGGTTTATTATTGTTGCATCATACATTTCGAATTTCATCTAAAAAATTAACTGTGGTTTGTCAATTTAAGCTGCAACGTGAAGCAGATTTATGCTGGTATAGTGAAAAGTCTAGCTGCATGACACTATACTTGATCACATTAGATATAACAGAAGTGTACGTAGCCAATGTCTTATTTTTATATAAAGCTTACCCATGCAGCAATAGTCTGCAGACTGATGGTGCTGCCTAGTTCTTGGTTCCTATGCGGTGGAAGGTCTTTATGAACATCTTGGGTTTTGCTGGGGAAGAAAGGCTTGGCGAAAGACTCCAGCTGCCTCAGGTCCAGCATGGACTTCACCTTCAGATCCATACTACCCAGTCGCATGGACCAGCGCCGTCTTGGCCGTGGACCTGAACCTTCATGTTCACAACTCTTCGATTGCTGATAAGAGACAGAATGTTAAAAAGAACCAACAAAATGAAAGATTGAAAGCTAAAATCATGCAAACGTCCTTACCTTCTTCATGTGTGAATTGAGAGTATTGCGCTTTTCTTCAGATGATCCTTGCAACAGAAACAAACACTAATATTAGAAGCTCACAAAGCTTAAAATAAACATTTGGAAGAAGTCCCACCCAATAAAAAACAAATCAATCACACAACGTAACCCAACCCAACCCAAAATAGCCAGATATAGTATATATAACAAGCCAAACCAGTTTAGTAAGACTGCTGGAGAATGTCGGATGCATTACCTGTCTCCTCGCCACCACTGCTGCTCGATGACATGTGAGGGAACATCTCATCTTCCTCCTCAATGCCCTCCTCTTCCTCCACGTCTTTGTCACTGTCTGACGACATGGTGCCAATGACCGGGGCACTGTGGATTTCTTTCCTTGTGCTGATACAAACCAGAAAACATTATGAAATCACCATTTCAAGTTGTGTTATTGCAAAAGCAACAAATGAGTGATTGGCTTTATACCTAAGTGTGTGTTGTTTATTTGGAGGGGTTTTCTGAACAGATTTGCTGTTCTGTTTCAGGTCTGAGAGCCGTTGTCTCATATTGATTGTCAACTCAGGACAGAGTCGCCACACAAAGATACAGCTGAACACACAACAGAAGGCAAATTTAACATTGTAATATGATAAACTGCGTCAAAAATGGATTCTTCATCTGAGAAATGGATGATTTCAGAACACTTACCTGTCTCCCGACACAGATATAAGATTTTTACAGTCATTCGTAAACTTCATTCCGGTTACAATCTCTAAAAGAGGCCAACAAACACAATGCTTAGACTTGATTTCAGGAGATAAAAAAGTTTTTCTTTAAAATAAGGTATTATAAATTGCATAATCTCACATGCAGAGCTTATCTTACCAGAATGGCCAAACATGGTGGCCACACATTCTCCAGTGTAGAAATCAAAGATGCTGATGTTTTTGTCTGAGCAGCTTGTGGCCACATAGAGACCAGAGGGATCCGTCTGAACCTATAATAAACACGTTCAGACAGATCAATAACCATATGACTGAGATAAAAAGCAGTATCTGAACTAATTTAATACCTAATGTTTTCATTCAAGGTCTGCCTACCTTGATAACGGTCCCGTCCTCCCCCTGGGAGCCCTTGTAGACTTTCTTCTGTTTGCCATTGCAGATGTTA